AACCTAGAAAAATAATTGAAACAATTTTGTCTTGTGTTTTATACAATTACCTCTGTGAAATAATATTTTCAAAATTTTATCAACATTAATAATAATTAAATCTCTTTTTCGTCTATCTGCTTAAAGCACCGTTTCCACTAGTTTTAACATCCTAGCGATTAGTTTGTTTACAACTTCTATTTATCTTGTAGAATATTTCGTAACTCTGTTTGCGACCTTGGATATTTTGTTTCTCATTTTCGCCATTTCCCAACCGACTAAACACTTCCTTGTTTTGGTCGTAATCAATGCTGTGAACATACAGCGTGTCCCATGAACTTTGTCCACTTAAATGCCTTGATTATTTCGAACAATGCAAGCAAATGTTCCTTGTAGAAGTTCCGAGTATGAAAGTACCGAAGTAGGTACACTTGTCCTGAAACTTACCTGAGATATTTGACTGTTTTCACGAAGCATGTTCGAAATGTTGGCCATTTGTAGCAGTGCAACATTGTAATCTTTAAACTTACACGTCTTATGGTTGGAGCACATTGTAATAATTCCTTGCCTCGTATCTTCCGGAATTGTCGGCGCGTCTCCATACACAATATTTTTCACAAGAAAAAATCTAAAAAAAATCTATCCATCGATTTGGAAATATTTCGTCAAGAGTACTTCTTATCAAGTGTTTCCTAATAAATTTGGTAATGTATTTTTTAAGAACATAAAAAGTGCTATCAATGAAATGACACTGAATTATTTGTTGCCCTATGATTCCACGCCAGACATTAATTTTGCACTGACCACTAATGCGTATTATGTAAATTAACACGTCCAGTGCCGGTGAAAGTAGCCTCACCGGTAAATAGCATTAAAGAGAAGAAATTTGGATACATTTGTAGCTTGAATCCATCCACAAAATCTAGTACTATTTACATAATCCACGTCTTGTCATTTCTGGTGAAGGCTAATATGGCAAGGATAATATTTATGACGAACGGGGATTCGTAATACACTGTTGCAGATTCGCGTTCGATCTGACGTAAACGAATATGCATATGAGGATTATGATACGTCATGACGAAAGTAATAAAATAAAAATAGACAAATATCTCAGAAACGGTTAAGTACTGTTATACTCAGAGTACGTCAATCTATCGAAATCGAGCATAAAAAATTAGACGTTCCATTTAAAAAAAACAAAGTTGACTTCTCATATCTCCTCTATGCTTTTACAATATTGTTTATTTCTATAAGTAACATTTTCTCGCATTGTTCGAAATAACCAAAACATTTGAGTGGACAGAGTTCGTGAAACACACTGTATATCCGTAAATATACGCAAGAATAGAGCAACGTGATTCGATAATTCACAAAATCATAATTTGTTAAAATAGACGAGTGTCCTATGACTCTTGAGCGTAATAAATTCACCGATGTCACGTTTGGTTGAGAATCGTTTAGAACTGTGCCAAGAAAAATTGTCGATTCATCCCATGAATATTCACCGTCATTGTATCGATACTGTTTTTTCTTCTTCGTTTAATTAAGTCAATAAACGTGAGCGTATTTAATTGTACATGAGAACGAAACTTTACATAATAAGTTCGAATGGATTTGGAAGACTTCCTATCGATCTTCCTGCCCGCCAGAATCGAACAAATTTTATTTGCAAATAACGAATAAGCATTCTAGATTCATTCTTTGTAGTAAACTTTGTAGCTTCGAAATAGCTATGAAGTGTCCAATAATTTTATTCGATATTTAAAAATTTCAACTGTGAGACATTGTCTACGGATACAAGGTCTGTGGAGGATGTCTGCACAATCGACGATAGTCACTGAGCTGACTACTGCAAAAACACGAGAGTTACTGTTTCACACGCATATGGTCGGTTGTTACTTGGGCTTACACGTACATATGCACGTAAACTGTTCACAGACAGTCCGTGTATATTGTTTCTTTTTTAAATGGAAACGAGAAATTGTGTATATGGACAAAGTATTATTTCGGATGTATAAAGCATACAAAACAGTCGTTCGATCAACGTGTTCAGAATTTTTATTTCGAACGAGTGTCTGTGGAATGTGAACAGTGCAGATTACAAAAATTGCAATAAAAAATGAATAATGCTATTGAGTGCTTATTTAAGAATTATGAGAGTAATATCGACGAGCCAGAAAAAACATTTGAAATTAGAAGATTGCAAAAGGAACATAAATACATACAATGTATATAATAAATATGGAACAGAAGGTGAAACGTTTCACAGTAACGTTAATCAAAATTCAAAATCACTTTTTGGTACTTTTACAAACTTTCTACGGTCAAAACTATCTTCTGGTCTTACTTCCTGAAAAGCATCACTTTTAAACTGTAATTGATACTTTTATCGTGTTAAAAATTTCCAGTCGGATTATTCTATAATATTTATTTCTATTACAATGTTATACATTGTTCTGTTGCTCGTTAAAGATTTTTCAAGTACAAGCAGGAGAATATTTTTTTAGAATTAACAAATTAATGCACTCACAAGCAATTAACTGACTCCCATCGTGTAATTATGATCTCCTATTGCCAATGTAAAAATTACAGATCATGTAAATACGTTGGAAATAATAAAAAAAATAGTAAGCAATAAAGAAAATATCACACACTATTCACGATCATTCGATACTTTAGACGTCTCGATGCTTTTATCTGATAAACTGAACGTTTATTATAACTTTACGAAAGTTTGTATTCCTTCGTTGTACTTTTGTCTCGTCCAATATTGTTATATTCGTCGTGATTGTTGGTTATACCTATACAATGTGTTATATGTGACACTCTGTGACGGATCGCTTCGTTCGAAGTAAGCGAGCTGATAAGATAAACGCGAACACTGCTCGACTGACGTCGATGTTAATTTTAATGATGCATTGCTTCGTTTTATGATCCTTAATCGTTTTATCGCCGATAATGTACTCTATCCGATTTGATCATTTTACAATGATAAAGTATATCTGAAGTCCGAGACAGTAAAGTAATATTGAATTGGTACAGAATTTTAATTGTACATCAGAAATCTGGCAGTGTTTTATTTGATCTACAACAATGTAGATTTTCTTCTTCCCGACAATGATGTAATTTGTTGCTTTCATCGTACCATTAGTTTGTACGTCTCTAAAGCTTTTATTCGTTTTCATATCTCTTTCTTTTTCTTTGACACTTTATTACTTTGATACGCTCTCCGAGTTTATGAGATTCATACAGTCAATTGCACACAGTTACACATTTTTACGTTTCTAAAAGAAATAAAGTGGGAGAAAGACAGAATTTACTTCTGCTTTCTCGCGTGGTTCAGTCTGAAAGAGGCTTTAAGGGGGTAGGCACGGGTAATGCAGCGCGCTGTAAACCGACACAATTTGGCCCGAAATAGGGGGTTTCGAAATAAGAGATATTACAGTCGATAGCAGAACATACATTGTATATACCTGTATGATTTGTGAATTGATAAAAGAATTATAAAAAATTTGTAGATGTATATTCAGTTATATACAGTTATATAATATTATATAACATTAGTAAGTTCTTGCAAAGTTTGCAACGTTAGAAAAAATATTGTGAATTTGTAAGCAATTATTTAGAAAATTTATTTAGAAAATAATGCATGTGCATAATCATTATTCCCTCATAAAATGCATAAATAATATGTACTTAATACAATTATAATTTCAATAAAATCATTATCAATTTATTATACTAATACATTTAAATAATTTAAAAAATTTTGAATTATTTTATTCATGTACTATTTTGTGTTCTGTAATATTCATCTTTAAAACTGATTAAGTTGTAAAAAAAAGTGATTATAGCCTATTGCAAATTAGAGAAAAATGATTTGTAATATGCGATAATACCAAAAGAGAATTATAGTTATAGAATTACAGATATTTCCAGGTTTCGTGGAATCGTTAAAAGCAATTATTCTACCTGTCAATAAACCTATTATCATAACAACATTCAAAGAGAACTTGACTTTGAGTGTTATTGGTTTTCATCTGAAACAACGTTTTTATAATACTATGTATTAATACGTTGACTGTAACTGCCATGGCAATTACTATATCCAGTTTAACGAGAACTGACAGAAAATATAAACAATAAGGTCACGTGATCGACGCTACGACCGCAGATGATTGGCTGCTGAAGTCGTTGTTCAGGGACGCCTTTTAGCGGCACCTGAGGACTCCCGCACAATGTATTAAAACATGTTACGATTGAAAATTGGGAAAAAACTGCGTTGAACGTGTTATTAAAATTGTTGAACACAAATTTTTGCAATTGGACCATTATATTGTCATTAACTGAATCATTTACAATTAATTTAAATTCTGATTGAATTAAATGTTGAAATATAGTTTTCCATACTTTAATTTGTATTATCATCTATTTCCTTGTTTACATTATTATGTAATAATATTAATAATATCATATTAATATGGATGAGTACTTTTTGTTCAAAAAATTAGCTTCTTTTCTATCATTTTCCTTTTTTGGCCTTTTCCTGGCCATTACGTTTCGGCCCTGGTTCAGCTGTTTATATTTCCTACCAATTGTCCTTGAACAAGGTATAGTAATTCTCACTTCAAATTTCCAACATAAATACTGTAAATTAACAGATAAATCTCTGAAACTTTGAATATATTTATTTTTCACGCTATAATATAAATAAATTGGGGATGCCCCTAAACATGAAAAATTGTCGTAACAGTCATCTTAACAATTTTCGAACAAAGCCAAGCAACGTAAGGAAATTCTAATATACATTTTGCCTTTAACCAAAAATATTTGAGATATTTTACTTAAGTATTTTCAAAGATATTAAAAATGACAAAGAATGAATTTTTTTAAATTCCTTAGGTACGATCTTTTAATAAATAACTTTATATTTGAAATGTTTTTCTTAAAAACTACAGAATTTTTCTGTTTTTTTAATTATTGTTTAATTAATGAATCAGGTTGTTGTCGGTACAAAACTTTGTTATAAGATATACGTGGCCCCCGAGTTTTTAATACGGCCCTGTGAGGCTCAACCGCAGTGCACAACGCGCATGCGCCTTCCTTGAAAACTCGATACGTGATTCGCAAGAATCGAGTATACCTCTATGTTGGATAACCTGCAGCTCTTTGTTCGCAGTAGCAACGGTTGAATGTCGACCGCATTTGAGCTCTTACGCTTGAACAGTTTCGTTCGTCTTTCGTTATTCAAAGAAGAAAATTCGACACATCGATTTGTTCGACTGTGTCGATTCTACTACTTCCGTTTACATTCCTTTGTGGACAATCGAAAAGTAAGTAGCGTTAAAAGTGACTTCATTCGCTGTCAATACTGTTATTCAGCCATGTTTGCCGGTAAATTTAATACTTTATTTTATCGGTATACACGTGTGTACCCACTACGCGTTCTACAACGAATTGAAGAGTATTAATTCCCTTGGCACTTAATGTCTGTTGTATACGTTTAAACAAAATCTAATATGCAATTCAGAAATTATTATTATTATTCGTGAAAATAATCGTTTACAGTTTAAAAAACGTAAACATTAACTAAGATTCTGTAGGACAGTACTTGGTACGTATTAGGTCAAAGAGGAAAAAACGTTCAACAAAGATGTGTTTGCTTTGTATCATTGTCTTCTGTTGATTCTCAGAAATTGAGATTGTGGTGTACGTATACGTAGATACATTGGACTCTTTGTATCGATTTTTATTTATTTTTACGAGTCACGATTTAAGCTACAACGTAATTGCAAACCCATATAAACGGTGGAAATTATTCTTAAATATCACTGAAATGAAAATAGATGTTCCAACTTTTTCTCTATATTTGAATTGTACAATAAGTAGAAGAAAATGTAGAAGTTACCACTGTGCACAGAACGTGAAAGAGACAAGTGTTGAAAACAAATAGTGTAAAATGTTCCCGAAACGTGAAGATAAATTCTACCAATTATACCGATGAAATGCTATTTTTTAAACATTGTCATAATCCTTCAAGGTTGTGTAATTTTAAAAGGACGCATTCCTGAAGCTCTATTTATATGTTATTTTTTTATTTTTTTATTTCTATTGTTAGTAGTGTATACTGATAAAATTTGTGTAAAGTATAGTTGTTTATCATTTCCGATAATATTTAAGAATTTGTAACTGTATCTACGCGTATTGTAACGAAACTGATCAATCTAAAATAAAAACTTTCGTTAGTTTTATTTTTCGAAAATTTTTTTTTATTACTTTTAGTATAATGGATGATTGGGGCGAAGATACTTATCAACAGTCTGCAAATGTACCAGATGTAAGTATATACTTTTCTGTTTGGTCATAATAACATAATAATTTATTAATACAGGTATCCCTCGAATTACGCGATTAATTAGTCTCTGAAATATTCTGAAATATATACAAACTATTATGTTTTATTTAAAAACATTTATCAATAATTAAATATATATTTTCTTTTTAAATAAAATTGTTCCAAAATCGCGTAACTCGAGGTATACCTGTAAAGCCTTATGTTTATACAAAATATTTTTCACATTTCAAAATTAGTTTGCAGAAGGTGGACGTAGCTATGGGAAAGGACGTGGGTTTGTAATACGGAATAACAATGACAATGAGTGGGATGCACGAAAACAAGATTTTAATGGCAAGAACACTCACAACGATGAAAACAATGATGACAATAATTGGCAATCTAACGATAATTATAATGATAATGATTTTGGAAGATCTGGCAGAGGAGGTGGTAAAAGTTACAGCAATGGTGGCGGCAGAGGAAGTTACAGAGGAAGAGGTGGTAATCAAAGAGGAGGATTTAGAAACAGAGGTGGAGAAAATGATGATGAAAACAGAGGTGGATATAAAAACAGAAGCGGAGAAAATGATGATGAAAACAGAGGAGGATACAGAAACAGGGGCGGAGAAAATGATGAGAGCAGAGGAGGATACAGAAACAGGAGCGGAGAAAATGGTGATGAAAGCAGAGGTCACAGAAGAAACGATAATTATAACGACGGCGATAGGGATGATAACAGAGGTAAACCAAGAGGAAAATTCGGTGGACGAGGAGATGACAACGAAGACGGTGAAGATCAGAAACCTCGAGAAATTTATATTCCCCCAGAACTACCCACCGATGAACAATCCCTGTTTGAAAACGGAGTCGAAATGGGGATTAATTTTGATAAATATGATCGTATTGACGTTAAAGTGAGTGGAGAGAACGAACCTATGCCGGTAGAGAGTTTTGAAACAGCGGGTCTTAGGACCATTGTTTTAGAGAATATAAAAAAATCGGGATACACAAAACCGACTCCGGTGCAAAAGCATGCTTTGCCAATCATAATGGGTGGTCGAGATTTAATGGCTTGCGCGCAAACAGGTTCCGGCAAAACTGCTGCGTTTGCGGTTCCTATTATAAATTCATTATTGGAGAACCCTACCGATTTAATCGTAGGTGCTCAGCATTGCGAACCTCAAGTTCTTATCGTGTCGCCTACTCGTGAACTGACTATACAAATTTGGCAACAGATTGTTAAATTTTCACTTAATTCGATCATAAAGACTGTAGTCGCATACGGCGGAACGTCTGTTATGCATCAAAGAGGAAAACTATCAGCAGGTTGTCACATACTTGTGGCAACACCCGGTAGATTATTAGACTTCTTAGACAAAGGAAGGATTACATTTTCTTCTATAAGATTTCTCGTATTGGATGAAGCAGATCGTATGTTAGATATGGGATTTTTACCTAATATCGAAAGAATCGTGGATCACGAAACGATGGTTCCCTTGGGCGAAAGGCAAACATTAATGTTCTCTGCAACTTTTCCCGATGAAGTGCAACTCTTGGCCAAAAGATTTCTGAACAATTATTTGTTCCTCGCGGTTGGTATTGTCGGTGGAGCGTGTTCAGACGTCGAACAAAATTTCTACGAGGTCGCAAGAAATAAGAAAAAAGAGAAGCTCACGGAAGTTCTAGAAAGGGAACACGATTCAGGTACTTTGAAAGGTACCTTGGTATTCGTTGAAATGAAAAGGAAAGCAGACTTCATTGCTGCGTTCTTGTCCGAAAATAATTATCCCACTACTAGTATTCACGGCGACAGATTACAAAGACAAAGGGAAGAAGCGTTGGCCGACTTCAAAAGTGGAAAAATGTCTATATTGGTAGCTACGGCGGTGGCTGCTAGAGGTTTAGATATAAAAAATGTTTCGCATGTTATAAATTACGATCTACCAAAGGGAATCGACGAGTATGTTCATCGAATTGGAAGAACTGGCCGCGTAGGCAATCGCGGAAGAGCGACTTCCTTTTTTGATCCTGACGACGATGGACCGCTGAAAAGCGATCTCGTCAGAATATTGAAACAAGCGGGTCAATCAGTTCCAGACTGGTTAATAAGTGGAAATGCAAGCAGAAACTTCATGCCTGGCAAAGGAAAGAGATTTGGCGGAGAAGATATCAGAGATGTATGTACACTTTAAGAATACTTTTTTGATTAAAATCAGCATGATAATATGAAATACCTCTTCCGTAAATTGGAACAGATATGGAGGTTTTATGCATGTTTTTTCTACTTTTTTTACAGTTTCAACCGGAAGGAGAACCGTACCCCGAAGAAGCGTGTACGCCTTCTATGCCAGTCGAACCAGAAGAAGAATGGTAAAAAAAAGAAACTGTTCATTTACCTATGCTATCATCGTTTTGTTAGGAAGGTGGTATTAAATATGTTTTGTTATCAATATCGCTCTATCAGGGGTACAAATAATTCATTACATTCATATAGTATTTATGTCTATATAAAAAAAAGTCACTAATTTACAATAGTACATTTTTTTAGTTGATTTCCATTGTCTACATATTTGATTAGACATTAATAAACGACGTATTTGAATAAAATGTAGACGACAACGTGTACCTCTTTAGAAATAGGTTAAGTATGCGATAATTCGATGTTATCTTCATTAATATGACAGATCTAATTTAAAGAAATGATAAATAATTTACGAAAGACGTTTACATCTGCATCTTTCGATACAGTTTATCGTACTTCTCCATCGATCGTACAAATGGTAGTTTTTAAGAACAAACTATTACGAAACAAAAATCATAGAAACGGTACTTTATTTTATAAAATGATACTCTCTAATATTATGTTAAGTGTTTTATACGTTCCTTTTTGTAATAAAAAAAAAAAATTAAAAATGTGTTTAGTATTTATTTTTTGAAACTCTTTTTTTCATTTTTTAGACAGAGACTACGATTATTGAAAATGTAGTTTCTTAGTGATTCTAGATTTGTTATTCCATAGAAGTATATGTTTAATCGAGTGATTTCTTTATCAAATTTATTATATGTATAAATACTCCATTAAAGTAATTATTATTGTGTAACCACTCTTGATTTTTCTCCGTAAATATCCTGATTATATTTTGTACGAATTTGAAAAATCTGTTTTAGTTTAATAGAAATGACAAGTTTCTCGTTTGATTACTTTCTGTTGGTTTTTATGAACCAGGAATGCTGTCTCGTACTAAAACTACTTCGATGTTTTGTTGAAAACAAATTTAATTTTTAGTATTAACTGTAGTTTAATTAAATCTTCAAAAAATATCCATAAAAGCAAATTGCCATCTGTTCTTCGTTTCATAGAACACGGTAGAAGAATTTGATCCATTAAATCTAAACCAGTTTTTAGAACGAGTGACGAATATCGACATTCACTTGCATTTTATATTCGTTCGAACCGTCGCATAGTAACTATCTACTCTAATTTGTATTTAATATATCGTATTATTTATTTTCTCCACTGGCTTCAACATTCTTCAAAATGTAGTTTTTATTTGATCACATTTACCTAAATTAAACATACTAGAATCGAGTTTTTTCACAGAATGACGACAGCTTTATAAAATCCACTACTTTTTATTTATTTAATGAAAGACTTCAGCGTGCCACTTCAGGGTTAAATAAAGTCGCGTTTAGATTCATTACCCTGGAGAAATATTGATAATATAATGAAAAATACGTGAACCAATGTTTCTGACGTGCTAAAACGATAAAAGGGCTAAGAAAGAAGGGTTGATTCGTGAAATAAAATTACCAACCTACGCGAGTGAACGAAGACGAACCGATTCGATGCTGTTTCGTTTAACTGGGAGATACTATAATTTGTTAGAAGAAAAATTGTGTACATACCGTCGTTCATGGCCATATCCATCAAATGCAGATCCTCGTCGTTTAGAAGGGATGAAAGGAAACCATCGGTAGTTTGATTGATCTGATCGGAAGTTGGTGTATGATAGTACATCATGTCGGTCGGTTCGGATTTATAAGCAGCTCCACTTTCTGTTCCAATCGGTTCGCTGCTGTTTGTTAAATTCATCGATGTTGCCACGGCTGAACCCAGGTTCGACGATCCACCTGTGGCAATGAGCATTTCAGATTCAAACGACGAGCCAAATAAGAATTGTTTAATTATGGGCTGTCAAAGTAATTGCAAGTCGTATTTGATTATTCTTACGACCGTGTATCGATGTGAAATAATGTTACCGATCGGAACTGGGGACAAACTATATTTAATTCCTCAGGTACGACACGATTTTCAATATCAAGCGATACGATAAAGCTGGTCATTTGAATTTTTAACGATTTTTGAAGGAGACACGTGAAAAAGGTCTTCAGGTGATAAAATATAATTCATAAAAATACATGGTTAAGCGTTGACAACTAATGAAGGTTTCTGGAAGGTTTCTGGATTCTTTTGCTTTGTATCTGTGACATCATGTTTATATTGCTTTAAGAATTATTAGAATCCGGATGATGAAAGTTTTGGTTAGTCTTGAATTTTCTTTATGGTGGTCGAAATTACCAGATTGTTCACCGATTGGTAATACATGGAGTATAATATTCTTTTTACGTTAGAAAGCTTTATAAACTGTGATTGCCAATTTTTAAGATAGGTCAATTTATATTCTAAATTTGTAATTTCTATACCATCTATATTATTTTATATTAGTGTTCTGTTCTTCTATATGTGTAAAGGAGCATGTGAGATAGAAATACGAAGCGCGCGACACTCGAGATATCGAGAGTTTGCTCCGATTATCATTTTCTTTTACAAGGTTGCACAATATTGCACTCCATTTTTTTTTTGTTCGTAAGATACGAAAGTCTACTCTCTGATACGATGTTAATTGGACACTCGGCAAACGACTGCAACTTTTTAAAAGCTTTACAGAAAGTTTGTTAGCTCTTCTTTCGATTTAAACACTATTACTTAAAAAGTTGCCAACATTTTATTCTATTTCAGGACTTGATAGAATTTATGCCTATGTGACGAATTTAAATTGCAGAGACCAATTAAAAATTTCTTGAAATCGTGAATTAAATGGTTATGGTTTCACAATAATGTTTTATGTACGGGTTCGATTCAATACAATATAAAATATATAAATTATAAGTTTATAATTTGTAAATTGTAATGATCTGTATTATTCAGACTACATAAAAAAAAACATAAGAAGTCTAACTGTGCGTGAAACTTATTGACATTGATTATTATCGATTTATATAGTTAAACAAACCATATAAAGCGATATGAAACTTCTGGCGGATAAGGCTATAATGTTTTATAGTAGTTAATCAATATTATAGATAGGGAGATATAATCACGCCATTCAAAAGTTTACATTGCCACGGGAGTTCCTAAATGGCAAACTATTATGCATAAAAATTTAAATTTAATCCTTTTAAGTAGGTATGTTTGGCACTGATAACACTAGTCAAAAAATTGTAAACATAGTTATGTTCTTTACTATTAAGCTCTGTTTATTTATTATTATTATTATATGCTTATTGAGCTGGTTCCATGGACCATTTCTATACCATGTTCCTCAAAATAACGTTTAAATATACTAGTTAAATCGATGTCTTTTAATCAGTGTTGAAAATCTTTGATCTACTTTGACAAAATATTTTATGACATATTTTTAATTTCCATGACGAAAAAAGTCATTATGCTCATTAGAGTAATCTTCTTGGTATGATGAAATAGTTCTCAAGTAACCCATTTTTACGAGTGTCTGCAGCAAAATTCTCCAACTTTTTTCACACCATCCCGCGCTTAGAGTTAATATTACTATATACACGAATTTATCAAGATCAGACATGTTGCATCGCGACTCTCATGAAACAATCTACGATCAATTTCATTTGCGTAGAAAACAGTACTTTTACGATGAGAAACTGGCAAGTAACAGAGCAATAAACTGCTTCGTTTCCGTTTATGTACTCCTTGCTATGCTTCTTAATACGTTGACTGCCATGGGGGTCACTGGTGACCGGCACTTTAAACTTACAATATTTTGGAAATCTTATGAAATTGTAATTAATACTATTTTAATTATAAATACTGTAAAACACCATCGAATTATCGAACATTTCTATGCTTTACACTATAATTTGAACATAAATGTTGAGGACATCTTTAGACGTGGCTAACAGCTTAGCTGTACAAGAAATAGTAAGTTTCGAACATCTAGTCGAAATATTTATTTTACAATTAGTCTAATTTTTATTATTTGGGGTGCAATTAGAAAATTCCATTTACATTAAGAAACGGTTATTTACGTTACATTTCTTCAGAACTTGGTTGCTTATTATACTTACACACGACAAGGGAGAATCCAAACTTTTGTTGAAGTGGAGCATGGTCAAAAAAAGGTTGAGAAAGACTGGTCTAATAGCTATCATAATGTCAAAGCATCGAAAATATATTTTTAAGCATAATGTATGCAACGAAAGTAAAAATTAAAAATTTCTATATGCAGGTTTGTGGACCACCAGATATTTATTTACGGTTCCCTTGGGGTTAACACATTGACTGCCACGTCACCCACATATAAAAACAACACTAAAAAGAAAATAAGTCTAGATAGAATTTTTGAATTTTAACGAGGCTATAAAAATAAATTCTATGACTAATTGTCAGTATACTAGTTTTCGATTGTCTAAACAGAAAATTTCGTTTTCGTAGACAATTTAAGTGTCTGGCAATCAACGTGTTAGGAATCACTGCGTTAGAAGACGCGTCGTTTGTTTCGGTGTTATTGTATCGTTTCGACGATTAGATGATTTTTTATTAGAATTGTAAACGCTGATATACTCACCTGCATTGTGATAGGGACTCGTCGAATTAAGATCGCCCACTGGTGGTGCTAGGGTAGCATTATGAAGCAAAACGTTACGTTGTGCTTCGTAATGGCTGTGGCTTATACCGTGCCCTGGGTATCCTGGATGCGCGGGATGCGCGAAGTGGTCTGGTGCACCAGGTAGGGATAAAAGAGATGCCAAATCCTGCCACCGTTGCTCCATGCTCATTGCACGCACAAATGGCATGCGACCCTACGACACAATCAGCGTTAGTTACGACGAGTCTCTCATTCACTGGTCCATCTAAACCACTTGAAATGCTATCCCAAAGGATCCTATTCCCATCAAATTACATTAGATTCGGGAAAAAGAAATCCATTACTTCCATGTTCAAATATGTATAGTCCGGGTCACGATATAGCGAGCTCGTAGAATCAAAGTAGGCGTCAAAGTAGAGATGTTTCAGCTACCGGGACAGAAATACGAGCACATAAGGACCTTAGACCATAATCAGGGCTCTACGAAGAAATGTTTTATCCAGTGTCGCCTTTTTTAGAGGTATCGTTAGAGGTAAAGGTCTTTCTCAAGTCTTCAATATCTTAATTTACCTATCTCGTAATATACATAGGTAGAAAATGAAAAAAGGTAGTGCAGTTAGGGACACAGAAAGACATTCCAAATGTTTCAGGCAGTGACTAGTATTTACACAAAATACCATTTATTAATTGAAATACAAAATCATATGTACGCTACCATTAATTTATTATTGGCACCCTCAAACAGTCATGTAGGTGAAAAATAATGGATTTCTTTTTCCCCAACCTCATATCAACCCTTCTAGAAATCTTTGTTCCGGGTCGATTGTTTGTAGTATATTTTTATATTAGTTATTATGTATATTCTTTTATAACACCTTTTCTACGACATAATTCCTCCAAAAATAGTTATGAATTAGGCAGAAAGATGTACCCTTATAATAGTAGATCCATCTTGTTCCAAAACTGTCGCAATGGTAAAAATTATTTTTTTTGCTATATTTTATATTAAGTTTCACAAGTCTATTTTAATATATTTGAACAAACGTTAACGCTAACATTTTTAACAGATATATTATCAGTAATTAGTATTAGTATAACCGGTATTCTCTGATAATTTCTTCTCAGGCATTCCATCTTGCCTGAACGAACGTAAAGGTAAACGTGGAAGATGTTAAAAGAAATAAAAAACGAAAGTGCAGCATTATTGCGGGACGCAAAGTTTCCGACGCGGTTCGGAAAGTTTCCGAGGGAAATCGGCCATTTTCAAAAGCGCGATAAAAATGTGTAAATCGGTAGCAGATGCGCGGTATGAAACGCGCGACGGTACTCGTTACGCGTGTTTGTGGCATAAATCTCGAATAAATCGTAAAATAATAAAGGCGCGCGGAGTAAAATGTTTGTGGGAGATTCGTCGGCCGGGGTACGACCGGACGACTGATACGCGCGTAACTGTGGTAGTGGCGCTTAATGCACTTTGGTATTGTCGTTAATGCGTTGGTCGCAAGAAGAAGATGAATAGGGAAGAGGCTGACGTAGTGCGAATCTGCCGCGATTGTTGTTCGGATACATCAATCAGTCGTCGGTGCAATCTGTCGAGCGCGAAACTTTTAAGGTGATTCTTGCTTGTCAGCGCATCTGTCGGGGCTATAAGCCGGCAAAATGTAGGACGAGACGTTTGTTCCGTGGCGATTTGTCGCGTACCGAGCACCGCGTTTCTAATAGCGCCACTTTACGCTCGTCCTGCTTCGATGCAATGCTCATGATTGAGCCGCGATAAGAAAAGTTACCGGATTTACACCGTTTCCACGAACGGCACAGGGTATTTCACGCGCACTCGACCGGCCAGTACACCATGGCGAAAGAATTTCTCATGGTTTTCGTGTTACTTAGTTTTGGTGATCGTCGTCGCTATTTCTGCCAGACGCTCGTTCCCTCGAGGAAGTACTGTTTCTTTCGTTTATACATTTATCACGCTCATTAACCGTGCACCGTGTAACGATGCCTACGTACGCTCCTCCGAATAATTAGAAACACAATCATACTTCTACATTTTTCACAAACAGCTCAAAAATTTTAGACCTTCCAACGAAAGGAATGCAATCCCATTTTTCACTTACGACGTGTAATATATGTAAATGGCAAATAAAATATTGCAAAATTTTAATTTGCATCCATTATTACAAGCACAAGGATAATCTCGTTTTTTTTGTGTCTACAAAAGGGATGATAACTCTATTGTTTATCACTTTATAGTCGTATAATATATGTAAAAAGTTTCATGCATATCCAATAGCAAATCAAATATTGCAAAATTTTAATTTGCATCAATTCTTGCAAGTACAAGTATAATCTCAATTTTTTGAAATCTACAAAAGGGATGATAACTCCATTTTTAACCATTTTTAAGTTTTAACGTGTAATATATGTAAAAAATTTAATGTAAATTCAATAGCAAATAAAATATTGCAAATTTCTAATTTGCATCGATTCTTGCAAGCACAAAGATAATCTAATTTTTTGATATCTACGAAAGGGATGATAAGTTCATTTTTGACCATTCAAAAAGTTTCATAGAAATCTGACAGTAAATAAGTTATTGCAAATTTTGTATTTGCATCAATCATAGCAAAGTATAAGTTAATTTTTTGATTGTCTACGTAATATACTTTTCACCTCTAAACCGTGTATGTAACAATGTGTGGTATTGTAAGTCGTGCAATTATAGTTGCGCGTCGTTATATCGACTCTGCATAAGATAAATCGTTGCGCGTCTATGGTCCCTTTTTCTCGTTTCTTCGCCGTGTTGATTCCGCTGTTAGACGTAACAGCCGCGAGCTGTGGGCACACACATCCTCATAGCGAGAGAGTAATACCACGGTAACTTCGCACACGGGTTTTAGTTCGTTTGACGCCGGTCGCGTTAGTACGGAAATGCCCAGAGGGGCGAAACGTTGAAATGCTGCTCGTAGATCCTCGCCAGATCGGGCCAGAGATCAGCAATGCACTCCGTCACATTGATTTGGTACATCGTATTCATTTTATTAGCATTATAATCGTTATCTCGTTCGTAGATCTCTAGCGCATAATAGATACACATGTTTCCGCGAGGTACGTTCGCATCGATTAAAACGTATCTGTTCGAAGATTTCAATTTCCCAGCTTCTGGTTAAAAGCTTAACGCGTGCTACCGATTCGATGAATAGCAAAGTGGCATCTTAGCGACAACTACATTCTTGACAGATTATCATATTATAGATAGTGTCAATCACACTTGACAATTCTCAGAACATAAACAGTACATGGCTAAATAAAACCGTTGATTCTCTATTTACTGGGGACTTTAATTTAGAACTGGATTAATTTTGCACAAAGAACCATATGAATTGGGTATCTCAATGGGAAAATATCGTTTTTACTGACGAAAAGAAATCTAATTTAGATGGTCCTGATGGGTATTCATCCTACTATTATGATTTAAAGTTGTTAGACCGGTACAGGATGCGATAGAGTGAATGGTGGATGAGAAGTTAAAATCGCGACTTTGGAACAATCAAGACAATAAAGGTTGGATTGAAAACAGGTGACACTGAATCTCCAAAGCAACGTAAAACTAAATAATTCCAATATTTTGCCCAGGAGATAATATAATTTTGCCTCAGAAATTCAAGAAAAATAGGATTTCTGAACCGAAACAACAACTTAACCGAGCAGCATTTACAATGTAAGAAAGTAACTAAAAATAAAATTGCTCATCCGTTGTGAAAGAAGAATTCCTAAAAGATGAGTTGATAAATCCGAATGTATTAGGATCGATTACGATTTCCAAGGTAGAGGTTGTACGATAACAGCTTAATCTCAGCTGTAAATCTGTGTACCTGAACCTGTGTTTGAATCCGTGCAGTCTGATGGCGCGTTTAATCGGTAAAAAGGAACACGCGCGTTAGATTGGGACTTGGCTGGTTTTTGTTCCATTCAATTTCTACTTATTTACGTAATGCCTTATCCGAGATCTCCGAGAAGTTACGTTCGATAGAAAACAGTAATTCGCCGAAACTCCCGTTGTTGGGGCCATTTGCGACAGGAGTTCATCTCCCGGTGCTACATCCAGCGGCCTATCGATCTCTTGCACTCGTTGCGGTCATTTGCGACAGGTGCAGAGCCGGGTACTACTCTCGACGGCTAATCGCTTCCAGGGTCGTGGATGAAGCCAGCGCGGTCATTCGAGCTTATCTCTGCTCATAGCGTTCAAATCCGCTCAAGAAATTCCCACTAGATCCATTGTCCCAACTCGTTCGCTTCCACACACACACGGAAAGTATTAGATCGTTCCATGTATGTTCGTGTCGAGGTTTCTACCACAACTTGAAGCCATATTTTAAACATACAGGGTGTCCAGCCACCCCTGGGAACAATTTTAATGGGAGATTCTAGAGGCTAAAATCAAGAATACCAATTTGTTGATCGAGGCTTCGTTAAAAAGTTATTGACCACACATATAAAATACACGTTTATTTTACTCGATAAAATAAAATTTATTTGACAAATTGACACCTTTTTTCCACTACTGGTCTTTATAAACCATCGTACGTGTATTTTATTCAAAGTGAAATAAAACAGCGAAAAAAATTGTAACTTTTAAGGGAATCGTTGCAAAGAGGAGGCTTTGATCTTCGAATTCACAGTTTAGTCGCATCAAAAAATTTTTAACTTTTTGAATTTGAAACATTTCTTCCGGGTAAAATCATCTTTGCTTTCTCGATCGTCCTCCTCGCGTGAAAAGATCTTCGAGGAAATTCGACCGAGGAATGTGAAAGTAGAAGGTTCAGAAAATAACTTTAAAAAGGTGATCGTACGACTCCTTTTCACGAAGTTACGATAGTCTAAATATTGACATGGTTTAGTCCTAATACTGAGGACAAACAGTTATACAAAACCTTTCATTGGTGTTTGGTTGGGAATTAGAATTTTTCGTATTGAGATTATTAATTCTTCGAATTGATTCGAATGTGCAGAAAAGTAATAACATTTTCGTAGTAATAAATATTCGTATTTTCTAAACGATGCACATCATCCTTGCAATCTAACTATAGTTTTTAATCGTACAAATTGAGTCATCCTAATACTTATGGCTAGACTGCAGATCTTTATGCAAATTCATATTTTTATTAATATCTCAACTCCTAAATATAATTATTCGTATCTTATTTGAAGAAA